GAGTATACACCACACCACTCTTGATCACTCCATTGACAACCCTAGTACTGTAGTACGTACGAGACTCTGAATTTAGATACTGTAGATGTTAATTCAACGACGACCAGAAGTAGTTTTAGACAATTAACAACATATAAGTTAGCCATTAAAATTTGGCTCCGAATATTTAACAGAACATGTTTCCTATTGAGACCAGATTTTTATTTTTAGCCAGTTATTAAATTTAAATTTTGGTTCCAGATATCTAACAGATTATTTTTCCTAATTTATATTATATAATTGTAAATTACGTAGCAAAGTTAAAATGAACAATAGAATAGAACAATAGAATACTGAAATAGAATGAATATATTTGGTAATGGAATAAAATTGGCAGTACTAATTGATTTTTATTATACGTATACGTAGTAAATCGTTAGCGTGTTTGATAATAATTCGCACAGTCATACGTATCAAAAGCCACATTAATTATTAATAAGACCTTTATAGGTTTCATCAATCAATATCGATACCGATATGTATTTGTCCCATTTAGGAATAAAACTCGAAAAGTCAAAAAAAAAATCAACTACGTAGTCTCAATATGGGTAATAAAACACCCAGTAAAATTGTGTACATATACGGTATAATAAATTTAAGGTTGTTCCTAGGAAGAACTATAGTGATTTTCTTTTTAATCTGAGAAACATATGAACATATTAATATAACTTTATTTGTATTAAAGTATGTTTTAATTTTATAATTAAGGCTTATTATCCGGAGCGTAGAATGATAAATAAATAAATAAATATACCCTATATATAAAATGCCTTGAATTCCGATCATCTGACAACCTACCCACATGCTATTGCATATTCCAAATATATATTTGCCCGCATTACAGCATTAAGTATTATTAGCAAATATCCGCCAATTTCAGTATGCACGTATACGTATATCTGATGTTTTTAGGTAATTTTAACTCCAATATTTATGATTCGGACTTATAATTCCTACACTATATATGTACATATATATATAAATGATGTTGGGTAATAAATCTTTTATTATTGAGATTGGTATAATTTTATACCGATACTGTATAACAAAATATCACTCGTTATATGTATAAATTTTCATTTTATCCCACTTTTACTTTTATATATAACAATAATAAAATATACCTTTACATTTTCTTGAAAAATATATCTGTAAACTTTAATAGTTGATAAAACAATGCAAATTGGTAGACTTCTTCATTATGCTACTGACGCAATCCTTATTTCCGCCATACTTGCTGGTATTAAAAGGTCTACTGGGTTAACGTAGGTTTTTATTTTTGTTTTTTTAAAGGTTTAATCATTTTATCATTATGGAATAACAAATATATACATTTATATACTGTATATATATTTTCTTTGATAGATTTGCCACAGAACGAATCAAAAACAGAAAAATTAGAAATATTGTAACCACATTTCTTGGTGTTGGCGAATGGGTTATGGATAAATGTATTATGTATATGAGCTCTTCACCTTACTTTGTAAAAAAGTTGATTGACTATAATCCAGAATCACGAAGCCTACATTTCTTTTAGCTTAATCATAAAAATTTCATTAATTCATTAATTAAAACTTGTATTATCAAATGAACTTTTCTATGTATTGTAAAGTAAATCTATGGTGGTTTTGCATCTATTATATATTTTTATTATATTTCTATATATTTTTTTTTTCATTAAAAACATACCTTATTAACACGCATGGTTTTATTTCGAAACACGTACAGTAATTAGAAGAGAGCTAATACGTATATAGTTAGTTTAGTCGAAGACTTTTTAATAACAAAAAATTATGATTTGCATTCAGTTAAATTAATTATTATATACTGTAACTTCCTTCAAACTAGATTTTATTTAAGTCAATATATCTTATAAATGCCAATTTCTTGGTTGCAATATAACCTATTTAACAAATAAAAATGCAGAAAAACTTAATACAATTCTAATTTGATTAATAAAGTATTATATTAATAAATTTAAAATTTTATCATAACATGAAGTTTTTAAATAGACTCGATGAACTTATAATAAATTATAAAAAAAAATTTAATTATTTATAAATCAAAAATATACAATTTTGAAAAAATCTTTCAATTAAAAAAATTTCTTTAAACAAGTTTAAAAAAAAAAATATATGAAAAAACCATCAATTTTTAGATATTACAGTAAATAGAAAAGGTTAATTTTACGTATTATATATATACCGGTACATATATATCGATATAGTTTCTACGTATATAAATATAAAATAATCGCATTCTTACTGTTTAAAGAGGATTGGCTAATACGTATACAGTATATAAGTAAAAAACACATTGCATAATAAATATAAAGTATATTTGCATAATAACTAAACCATAAATGTTTAAGTTTCATAAAATGATTAAATTTTTATGAAATTTTTCAGGGTTTACTCACCATTTATTGAATTATTAACCTTTTTTGTATAAAATTACATATAGTTTATACATTTCGTTGGGACTTGAAAAAAAATCTATTTAGTTAAACCAAAAATCCTGCACTTAAGGACCTACATCATAAGAGAAAAAAAATTTTATATTACTCTATATATATATTACTTGAAACTAAAGCTGGTGCTGCATTTAGAGAGAATTTAATTAGACCTGCACTTGGACTAGAGAGAGCAGACAGTATATATACAGTATATGAAAACTTGATGATATGAGCCAATCAACGTCCAAGAATTTTTCCGATATTTGGTATATCGTTACCTCTGAATTTACATATCTCTGTTTGAAAAATATCGATATATTTTTTCCCAAGCTCACTTTTACTTTGATATATTATCGATTTATCATGTCAAAACGAATGCCCGGGAGATTTAAATTCTTTATTGGTGGAACGGTTTTAGGTGCCTTTGTTTGTTATTATTTGAATAGGCCGAGACAACTAAAAGAATGGTCACCTTTAACTGGTCCATATACGAAAGACATATCCCCAAGAGAAAAACTTTGGCCTTCTGTTCCTATTCCTTTCGGATATCCTGGTGAGTTAAATAGGGTAAGCAACGAAGATAGCATCATTGAACTATTAATTTTATATTTTTATCCTAACATTAAATTATTAAACACAAAAAAAAAAAAAATTACTCTTTTCGTAGGGCCAATTAATGATGCATTCCCAAGAAGGGCATATTACGCTTCATATAATCGACAACTTCGTCATCCAAACTGGGTAAAAATTTTTTTAAATTAATGCAGGCGATACATATCCATCAATTTATTTTACTTATTCTTCATCGGTGATGATAAGGTATTTGAACATTTAACAAAAGATTCTCTGAAAATCGGTGAAGGTGTAGATCGTAAATTTTCAACCTTTCAAGAAGATCCGGAGATTCCAGGAATGTTTGCTGCAAAGTTAACTGATTATTATAAATCAGGATATGATAGAGGTCATATGGCTCCAGCTGCTGATGCTAGACTTTCACAAGAAGCTCTGAATGAAACTTTTTATTTGACAAATATTGCACCTCAAGTTGGAGTTGGATTTAATAGAGATTGTATGTTTTTTTTTTTTTAATTTCACCATAGATGATATCACCTAGTTTATATAATTGATACTAATTAAAAATGGTTAGCACCCTAAAAAACATATTCAAGCTCTAGTTCAGCTCTAAAATATAATTTTAACCTTAAAAAAAATTTTATAAAAATTATGAAATCATATAATGATATCATGTATGGTGGAAAAATTAGCTTTATACTTTTTTTTTTATGTTTATATAAAAACATTGTTTCAACCCTTTTTCTTATCACAATAGATTGGGCATTTCTTGAAGAATTTTGTAGAAAACTTGTACGTCAAGAACTCTTTACAGATGTTTACGTATTTACAGGCCCGGCCTACTTACCGTATGAGGAAAATGGTAAATGAATGCCTTTCCTTTATGGGTGTTAAATATTTCAAATGAACGCAGTTCATACTATCTCAGGCTAAATAACATCCCTACTTTCTATTATATTAATAACTCTATTATTCATAAGGTAATTGGTATGTGAAGTATAAACTCATAGGCACTCCTCCAAACGTTGCAGTTCCAACACACTTTTTTAAAGTAGTATTAGCCGTTAAAAATGATGATAGTCAAACAAGTGGAAAATTGTATGCTCTTGACTGTTTCTTGATACCAAACCAGTCTATACCACATGATGCTCCACTTGAGAATTTTGTGGTTCCACTTAATGCTTTGGAAAGAGCTACTGGTCTAAGATTTTTTGAAAATCTTAGAGAGAAAACTGTTCCTCTTTGTGAAGCTACAAAATGTGTATTGGTTCCTCCTTTGAAATGGATAGAAAGTAATAGCAAAGAGAGGTTACTAACTGATCAAGCGCCAAAGAATTAGTTTCATAATTAATATTGCCTTATTTGTCTTATTCAGTGTTTAAAACTGAATCCAATTGAATTTCTCAATTTTAAAAAATTTAAACACGTCAACTTTAATATTAAACTAAAGGAATTGGTGGTACAATTAAATATATTTTACGCACATTGATAATCAAAGATGAAATACATTTTTTTTTCTTTTTAAATTTATGTTACCCAAAAAAAAAGGATTCGGGAAGAAAATATAATAATAAAGGCAAAATTTATCATAACAAATAACTGCAAAAAAAAAAAAAAAAAAAAAAAAAAAAAGCCAAAAAAAAAAAAAAAAAAAAAAAAAAATAATGAACAATAAAATACTGACTTATAGGCCGCCCACCAATTCCAAAGATCA